CATGAACTTTTTAATGCCCTTAAACTCATGTCGAACAATAAAGCAACAGGGGTCTCATTTATAAACGTTGCGTACGCACAAAATGGCCATAGAAATTGCATATGCAATTTTCCACACACATATCGGGATTTATAAAAAATAATAAAAAATGAATGTCCGTGTACGGACATTCTAGACCATGCGGCGTCTGATTGGATGGGGGAAGAGAGAAGAAAAAAAGCAAGAAAAAGCTGATTCGACCAGTTCATACAGTATATACTGTTGATTAATATATGACAAGAAAAAATGGCAAAACAGAAAAATATATAACGAACTAATTAAAATGATCCAGATGATACACCTTAAAGGGGTCATGATGCTGCTAAAAAGAACATGAATGTAATGGAATGTGTTTATGCGGTTTAAGGTTAAAAAAACACATTTTCCACATACTGTACATTATTGTTTCTCCTCTATGCTCCATCTTTCTGAAACCTCTTTTCTGAAATTGTTACAAAGCTCATCGGTCTGAAATCAAGGTGTGCTGTGATTGGCCAGCTATCCAGTGCGTTGTGATTGGCTGAATACCTCAAGCGTGTGACGGAAATGTACTGTGCTGCCCTGTCCGGCCGGAGCGACGAGACAAACACATTAAAACCCATTATAAACCAGGCATTCGTTGCATCCAGTGGGACGTAATTACTGATTATAATGATTTATACCGTCTTTTTACGCTTTGCGTTGCATCGTAAGCAAGCCCTTACGTTCTTACGCATTACGTTCCATAAAAAGTAACTAAGTAACGAATTTAATTACTTTTTTATGGAGTAACGCAACATTGTAACGCAGTACTTTTAAAAGTAACTTTCCCCAGCACTGCTTATAAAGCCCTGAATGGTTTAGCAGCTCAGTATTTGAACGAGCTCTTATTGCATTATAGTCCTCCACGTCCGCTGCGTTCTCAAAGCTCTGGCCATTTGATAATACCTAGAATATCAAAATCAACTGCAGGCGGCAGATCCTTCTCCTATTTACCATCCAAACTCTGGAATAACCTACCTAACATTGTTCGGGAGGCAGACACATAACACACTTACGCATTTCTAATATTAGAGCGGTCGGAGACGAACGGTGAGTAAGTGTGACATTGTGTGTGACATTGTGTGACACAATGTGACATTGCTGCAGCCTGGAATTGAACTGCTGGTTTCGTCTGGTCAGAGGAGAACTGGCCCCCGACTGAGCCTGGCTTCTCCTAAGGTTTTTTCTCTGAGGTCAGCGGGTCACGTGACTGATGAAGGTTACAGGTGTAACGCGCGGTTTTCTGATGCTTCTCCTCTCGATCCTCCATTACTGCAGCAGCCGGACGAGGAAGTCCATTTTCCAATTTAGCAAACACAAAGATGACAGGAAACAGCGCAATTTAGTGCAGATGAGGGGTAATTACCTCTAAAACCAGCGCCATTTCATATGAAGCTCAAGCCATCATAATGAGAGCGATGCAGTCATTACTGCTAATTAGAGGAATTAGTAACATCATTTAACAAACGCACAAATAATGTTTAGGATATTGAAGCAGCAGCCGAAGCCATTAGACAGAAGCAAAGCTTTCTAATGCAATAATTGCATGTTCTACACAATCTCTGGAATAGATAAGAGTGAGTGTGTGTGTGAGAGAGAGAGAGAGAGAGAGAGAGAGAGAGAGAGCGAAGCTGAACACAAGCACAACCCACCATTCACTCAGTCAACAAACAAAACCGTTTGACTCGAGGTCACGGTGGACTTCATTTACTGAGAGAGCTGATCAGAGAAAGATCATGATAAATGACGTTCAGTGTATTAAAAGGATATTTTATTGTTCTTAAGCACATAAAAAAATACACACATTGGAGGGCAAAACACAAAATGAAAACACTGAATTTTATCTGTTGACAGAGACAGAATAAAAAGACAGACAGACGTGATGGAAACGAGTGGCAGCAGAACGTTTCATGGTGAGTGAACGTGACGTGTGCGATCACCGCGGATTCACGTGGATCTGTGAACACAAGAGCACAAACATCAGATCACCAGCGTTCAGCGTGAAGGACCGCCCACTCACCTGTCAATCAAACACTAGCGCACGTACGGCTTCAAGACAAACTACATGAACACCTGATCAATATACATGCAGACGTGCACAGATTTAACAGAAGATGATCAGTATGTGATCAGACCAGAGACACGTGTAATGCAGCGAGCGCCTCCTGATGTATCGGAGCGTCTGCTAAAGCTCTTTCTGAAGACATTACTGGACAAACAGACAGCGCTGAACGCAGGCGTCGATAAAGAGCTGAAACAATCGAGCAGTGCTTCAAAATCAACTGCAGGCGGCAGATCCTTCTCCTATTTACCATCCAAACTCTGGAATAACCTACCTAACATTGTTCGGGAGGCAGACACATAACACACTTACGCATTTCTAATATTAAAATCCCTTAAAGGATGTGTTAATTAGGACAACCGGGAACACTTCTCATAACACCCGATGTACTTGCTACTAGAAGAATGGCATCTACGCTAATATTAGTCTGTTTCTCTCTTATTCCGAGGTCACCGTAGCCACCAGATCCAGTCTGTATCCAGATCAGATGGTCACTGCAGTCACCCGGATCCAGTACGTGTCCAGACCAGATGGTGGATCAGCACCTAGAGAGGACCTCCACAGCCCTGAAAGACAGCGGAGACCAGGACAACTAGATGAGCCCCAGATACAGATCCCCTGTAAAGACCCAAGACCACAGGAACCAGATGAGTCCTCTGCACAATCTGACTCTGCTGCAGCCTGGAATTAAAACCACATCATGCTGGTTTCGTCTGGTCAGAGAACTGGCCCCCGACTGAGCCTGGCTTCTCCTAAGGTTTTTTCTCTGAGGTCAGCGGGTCACGTGACTGATGAAGGTTACAGGTGTAACGCGCGGTTTTCTGATGCTTCTCCTCTCGATCCTCCATTACTGCAGCAGCCGGACAAGGAAGTCCATTTTCCAATTTAGCAAACACAAAGATGACAGGAAACAGCGCAATTTAGTGCAGATGAGGGGTAATTACCTCTAAAACCAGCGCCATTTCATATGAAGCTCAAGCCATCATAATGAGAGCGATGCAGTCATTACTGCTAATTAGAGGAATTAGTAACATCATTTAACAAACGCACAAATAATGTTTAGGATATTGAAGCAGCAGCCGAAGCCATTAGACAGAAGCAAAGCTTTCTAATGCAATAATTGCATGTTCTACACAATCTCTGGAATAGATAAGAGTGAGTGTGTGTGTGAGAGAGAGAGAGAGAGAGAGAGAGAGAGAGAGAGAGCGAAGCTGAACACAAGCACAACCCACCATTCACTCAGTCAACAAACAAAACCGTTTGACTCGAGGTCACGGTGGACTTCATTTACTGAGAGAGCTGATCAGAGAAAGATCATGATAAATGACGTTCAGTGTATTAAAAGGATATTTTATTGTTCTTAAGCACATAAAAAAATACACACATTGGAGGGCAAAACACAAAATGAAAACACTGAATTTTATCTGTTGACAGAGACAGAATAAAAAGACAGACAGACGTGATGGAAACGAGTGGCAGCAGAACGTTTCATGGTGAGTGAACGTGACGTGTGCGATCACCGCGGATTCACGTGGATCTGTGAACACAAGAGCACAAACATCAGATCACCAGCGTTCAGCGTGAAGGACCGCCCACTCACCTGTCAATCAAACACTAGCGCACGTACGGCTTCAAGACAAACTACATGAACACCTGATCAATATACATGCAGACGTGCACAGATTTAACAGAAGATGATCAGTATGTGATCAGACCAGAGACACGTGTAATGCAGCGAGCGCCTCCTGATGTATCGGAGCGTCTACTAAAGCTCTTTCTGAAGACATTACTGGACAAACAGACAGCGCTGAACGCAGGCGTCGATAAAGAGCTGAAACAATCGAGCAGTGCTTGAGAAGAAACACTCAAACAGCAGCATGAATCAAACACATTAAACAGCAGGAAGGCAAACGTGGATTAACACTCACTTGGGCTTGGTCTCGGCGTCGGTCACCTGGCGGATGAAGACGGCGTCGGCGGGGTGAGAGACGTCTCCCTGCTCCTGCATGTACGAGGAGGCGATGGCCAGCAGAGAGCCGTCTGTACTGAACGCCAGAGACGCGATGCTCGTGGGGTAACGGTGGAACTGACACAGACGCTTCTTGTTGAACGGATCCCAAATGTTCACGAAGCCGTCAGAACCGCCTGCACACACACACACACACACACACAGAAGTCATTTCTCAGTCGGAGTCAGTGAGTTACACCAACAAAAACTGCATGTATAAGGGAAAGTGTTTATTTTACATTCTGTAACTTCACTGTTTCTTGTAAATAATTTTTGGTATTCACTGGTTCATTTGAAATGATCCTGTGATGAATTAAAGACATTTATCAAAGTGCAAATTTTCAATGTGGTTTCTGCACCACAAAATAATGACTGTTTCAAACAGGTTTCCCATCCATCACTGGTCAGGCAAACTCCAGACTCACACTAATATGCTACTGAACACTGCATCTGTTCATAATCTGCATACAAATATTCTCTAATTCAGTGAAAGCTAATAAGCAAACATTCGAGTAATTCTGGCAGTAAGAGTAATTAAGAGCGTGGATGTGTACCGGTGGCAAACGTGTTGTGGATTAAATCTAGATTAAAGACATCTCTTTAGCCAAGCATTCACATAATGCATCTCATAACCTCGTACTTCAGCTATATCTGATCAAATGCACATTATCATCCTTCAGCTTGGTTTGAGCAGCAGCTACGCTAATTGTGTCCCGAGGTAACTCGCTTCAGTCTGGATATAATATAATCATTGCTGCTGATAGAGTTCACCGTCTGTTTGATTACGTCCTTAACTAACTGCATGATTTCACTTTACATTTCTGCCATATGGACATAAGCTACTACTAAATATAATGTACAAACTTTCATTTTCTGTAAAGCTGCTTTGCAACAGTTTGTATCGTGAAAAGTGCTATACAAATAAAAAAAAGAAAGAGAAGAGGCAGGCGGGACTCACTTGGGCTTGGTCTCGGCGTCGGTCACCTGGCGGATGAAGACGGCGTCGGCGGGGTGAGAGACGTCTCCCTGCTCCTGCATGTACGAGGAGGCGATGGCCAGCAGAGAGCCGTCTGTACTGAACGCCAGAGACGCGATAAAAAAAAATACCGTCATGTACCGTGAAACCGGTATAATTTTGAAAAATACCGTGATATAAATTTTTGGTCATACCGCCCAGCACTATTAGTGTCCTTGAATACTTGAGTTTTTTCTATATTATTCTTGTTAATTTCTGTATGTGCATAGAGAAAAAAACTTCACTGCACATCGTATTATGTATGGATGTGTGTGAGACAAAATTAAATTTGAATTGAAATGGAAACAAACTATAGTACTTGTCTAAAGGTCGGAAACATTACAACTTTTAAATCTTTTTAATGGAGTCTCTTCTGCTCACCAAAGCTGCATTTATTTGATCAAAAATACTGTAAAAGCAGTTCAATATTATGTTTCAGAATTTTTACTGTATTTTTGCTCAAATAAATGCAGCCTTGATAAGCAGAAGAGACTTCATTAAAAACATTTAAAAATCATTGTTTCAAAACTTTTGACAAGTAGCATACATGAATAAAAATTTATTAAATTTGCATCAATTTTTATGACTAATGTGTCACTCCATTGTTTACAGTCTGATTTAACCCTGTGGTAACTAGTGCATGTGAACCGGGTGATGCTTGTACTGATAAATGCTTATTTTCTATTGTGTGTTTAGCTCACTAACTGCTATAAAATGATCTCCTTTCATCCATGATGATAAAGAATTTTTTTTAACAAACCCATGGAAACTGAATTTGTCAAACTAGTCTGTGTGTGTCTGACCTGTTTGTTAGGGAAAGCTCGTATGCAGCGCGTCTGGTATTTGAGGCTGGACTCTCGCCTCTGCTGCACGTATCCCATGTTCCTCAGATCCCAGACGAGCACACGCCGCCCCGCTGTCCCCACGATCAGCCGGTCTCCGGCCACAGACAGCGTGTAGACCTGAAACACAGCCACAGACAGCTGAAACACAGCCACAGACAGCTGAAACACAGTCACAGACAGCTGAAACACAGCCACAGACAGCGTGTAGACCTGAAACACAGACAGCGTGTAGACCTGAAACACAGACAGCGTGTAGACCTGAAACACAGACAGCGTGTAGACCTGAAACACAGACACAGACAGCGTGTAGACCTGAAACACAGACAGCGTGTAGACCTGAAACACAGACAGCGTGTAGACCTGAAACACAGACAGCGTGTAGACCTGAAACACAGACACAGACAGCGTGTAGACCTGAAACACAGACGGCGTGTAGACCTGAAACACAGACGGCGTGTAGACCTGAAACACAGACACAGATCAGAGCCACTCCTGCGCCAGAGCCGCTGTGTCCCTCATGTCTGCTCACCTTCTCGGGCTGCGTGAAGGTCCCGGCGTTGCAGGGTGTTCTGGGGTCCCAGAGCCTCACAGACATGTCCCAGCTGCCCGTCACCATCACATTGACCTCCGGACAGTATTCCACACAGCGGATGGGAGCGTCGTGCGTCCCCACAATCGTGTCTGACGAAGAGCACAGATGCAGTCATACACCAGCGTGATCGTTTACTCGCCAGCGTCTGGTGTTTAAACTCACCCTGATCCGTGTTCAGATCGTGCGTCTTCAGCTGGTTGTCCAGACCGCCGCTCCACGCGTGAGCCGGATCCTGAAACGGCACGAGACAGAGTTCAAACACAGCAGTGAATGAATCCGTGACCCTCCAGTGTTTCTACAGCGATGCCCCTCACATAGAACGCGCAGTCCAGCACCGGCGCCGGATGCTGGTACTTCATCCTCATGCTGTTAGCGCCGACATCGAACAGACGGACCGTACAGTCCCACGACGACACCAGCAGGAACTGAGCCGAGCTCGGGCTGAACTTCACAGCCGAGACGCTGTCCTCCGGACCCTGGGTCAGCTTGAACTCATTGGTTCCGGTCATCTGAGAGCACACACACACACATTACATCATCAGCTCCTGCACTGAGTGTGTGTTCGTGCGGATTCCTCAGGTCACGTGTGTGATCCGGGTAGGGTTGCACCAGCCATTAGGAAGTTCTTATTTAAATTAGAATGTTAAGTTCACACTCACGCAACTCTCTGTAAAGTAATGCGTAGTCGCATAATATTGCGTTTACCCTAAATCATCCAATAGAAGCCTTCAAATACGCGAGCAGAACTAATGCTATGAATTTTAATATATCCTTCATTCGAACTTCTTTTGCCTCACGTATACTAACGGTACAAATATAAACTACTTTACATTAAAAACGTTACTTAACATTAGTCTATATGTAAGCTATTTTTATATGTAAAGAAACATCCAGAAGCTGTAATTGAAATAAATAAGGATCAATAAATACTGAAAGAAAAAAAACATAAGAAATGCCATTTATTGCTGCTTTAATGTGAGCTGCGCAGCTCGGAGCTCGGACTCTCCGCAGCGACACACGCTTCTGTCGGAGCGCAACGTTACGTGAGATCAACAGCAGCTCCAGTCAACACAACGAGCCGTTAACCCACAGGTACAGTGCAGCATAGCAGCTTCAGAAGGCCCCAGAGCCGCTGTACAGCAGACGGGTGCTGAGGAAAGAAACAGCAGCTTTATTCACACAGTGTTCTCTCGCCTCAGACGTGCGCGAGTGTAGCTAGCAGCCTGTAGCTTTAGCATGCCTCCCGATCTAAGCTCGAGGAACGTAACGTTAAACCGACATTACGACGGAATTTAAACTCTACACATCACATGACGCACTGCCGCCGTGATAAGCTCTCTGAAACACCGCTGATCGTTTTCTTTCACACAGAATAGTTTATTAAAATGAGCAGAATTTCCGTTAAATCTCACCGCGCCGCTCTTCTCTGCTGCCGCTCTGCCGCTCATCGACTCTCTTCTCTGATTGGACGCGTTCACAGCAGCGCTCTGCTCTCATTGGTCCGTTTCAAAACTCCCTCTAACGTTCTTTAGCAATGATTGGTCACAAGGATTTACTTCTGGGCACGAGCGAGGACACGAAACAACAAAATATCGCGAGACGTTGCGCATTTCCGCCTGTTGAAGATCATCAGATAAAACATTTGTGCTACATTTCTAAGAATAAATAATTAATTTGACATGCAAATACACAATATTTGTTTTCTGTTTTTATTTTTATAATTGCTTTTTGTTGGAATATATTCATGTCTCGCTTCCCTGTTTCTGTATGTTTCTGCAAGTTTTGTAATAAAAAACACACACAAAAAACATTTCTAAGAATAAAACGAGGAATTATAGATTTTTTCTTCAGCTACGGACACCGTTTTTGCATTTTTATCACAGAAGAGGGCAGGAATATATATATATTATAGTTTCTATACTAAATGATGTGTCCATCAGGAGACTATATTCATATAGTTCATGTATTTATGAGCTGGAGATAACTCGAAAAACACACATAAACAGATATGTTGTGTTTACTGTGGTCAGGTTTCATCAGTTGGAAGGTTTCTGCTGGAGCTGCAGCAGATAGCGGTGTTCTTCTTCTGTGTTGGACACCAGTAAAGCCTCAGGTTACACTAACACTGATGCTGTGTCTGTGCATTTAAGCCTTCAGCCTCTCAGGTGAGCACACCTGCCCGAATAAAGCACGGCACGGATTTACATTTGATTAAATATTAAAAATGCAGCTAATGTAGTTCTACACAGCGATATAAACAAAGCCTGTTCTCTGGGTGCTCTCGGTTTGGTTGGTTATTAATGTGATCCGACTAAAGCTATTCATACTTTGAACTATTATTATTATTATTACTACAGTATCTATTTAAAAAACGTAGAGTGCCTTAAAAATAATTATCACAGTTATTTCCTGTGTTTCTGTCTTAATTATACTTATCCATCCTGTTTTTATTATCATTATCATTCAGAAAATGATGTGAATAAATTCAGAGCAGGATTAGAATATAATTCTATTTTAAATAAGACAGAAATATGTTTCTACAACAGCAAAACCAATCATAATAATAATAATATTCGGTTTGTAATTCCAGAGTAATTAAGAGGCGCAAAGAACGATGTCTTTAACTCTTAAACTTCAAATGGTGTTTTGTGTTTCTCTTTATTTATTGGTGCTGGTTAGAGCTCGGTGTGTCTCTTCTGGAAGAAGCGTCTGCTGATGAACACATGCCTGCAAGAGTAAAGGGTGACAGCAAGCCTTTAGTCCTCTGCTGTACAGCTGGTCCAGTTTCAGATCTAGAACCCTGATGATTTACTCTTTCAGCTGCTTATCGAAACGCACGGTATTATTACACATGAAGCGAGTTCTTACGCATTTATAGTTAAATGAAGAATACATTAAGATGTTAATATTCGTGCGGTTTTACAGAGAATATGTGTAATCATGAAAATGCACGCGAAAATATAAATGCTATTAATACTAAGAAATAAAATATGAATGCAGCTGATTTATTTAGCTGTTGTACTGTAAGCTGCTGCTGCTAAACACTGCGTGAGAGGAATAATTCACGCGTTATAAACATCAGATTTCACATGTTTTAATTAAGGTTATAATATAACTTTAGCAGATGCGTAAAACCCGCGCTCTCATGGAAACACACTGTGTGATGATTTCTGTTCTCTGTATTACTGAAGATAAATAATGAGATAATACACTAAAATAAAGAAAATACAAGAGCAGCTCGTAGTTACAACAGCAGCGCTTTATTAAGCCGCATGTTCAGAATCACAGACACATTCAGCAATGAAGATTTACTCATGATCATATCAACTCCTCTGAAGCAAACACATTATTTCACAAACCTCACCATTCTTAGTTTCAGGCGTTTGTCGCAGAACACAACAGATATTTACCAGTGCATGTGAACATTCAGACTGAGAAATAAAGTCAATAAGCATTAGATTCAGAAGCACAGCACTGCAGTCCTGACAAACACACAGAACCACACACACTGTGTTTCCAGCTGACCGATGAAGCACGAGCACAAGAACCCAGACGCAGCCGCTGTAGCGCGGAGACACGGGTGTGGGGAGATAATCATCATCATAATAATTATAATAATAATAATAAACAGCTGCACCAAGCGCTCTTCCTCAGCAAAGCTAGATTTGTTATAATAAAAGTAGGTCAGGCGAACTGTCTCTTCAGATCTCGGTCCTGACACAGCTGGACTCCCGGATCAGAGGACGCGCGCTGTGATGGTCAGTCGGCTGGTCAGCTGGTCAGCGGGGTCTCTCACACGGGTCTGATCAGCGCGTGCGGGTAATACAGCGCGTGCTCGTGGTAGAGCACGGGCACGCGCACGATCCTCTGCGCGTGCCCGTGGCTGGCGGCCTCCAGCTCGGCGGAGATCTGTCTCTTCCACTTGTTCCTGCGGTTCTGGAACCAGATCTTCAGCTGCGTCTCGCTCAGCTGCAGCGCCGCCGCCAGCCCCGCGCGCTCCGAGCTGCTCAGGTAGCGCTTCAGGTCGAAGGTGGACTCCAGCTGGAACACCTGCGCGCGGGAGAACACGGTCCTGGTCTTCTTCTTGCGGCACAGCTTCTTCTGCTCGTCCGAGTCCGAGTCCTCCAGAACAGCCTCCTCATCCTCCGCTTCTGTGGACTCTCTGACTCCGCCTGCTGCTCGACACACAAACACACGAAACACTTTACTTCTGACCCGTTTGAGCGCTTTCGTGATAACCAGAATGAACTCTTCAGTGTCTTAAACGAGCGGCTCATTTCCTACAGGTCTGTGAACACATACTAACACTAATACCAATACTGATGGGTGTAAAGAGCGGCTGCAGGTTCTCACCCGCGGGTGTGCTCGGGGGTCCGCCGGCGCAGCACCAGGGTCCGAGCCGCAGGAAGCTGAGGTCCGGGACATTCAGGTGAGCTCTGGGTTTGTCGGGTTTGTTCAGCAGGTTCCTGATGGAAAACGGAGAATCTTTCACTTCTTGTGTTTTTTCCTCCATCGGTGAGACTGTCACTGATGATGATGATGAAGAACAAGAAGAAAGTTACTCCAGTCTGAAGCGAGAAGCGCAGCGCTGATCCATATGAGAAGAACTGACGCGATTCTGCCGCGCGCTGAGAGATGATGATGACAATCAAAAGGTAAAGAGAGAGAGGGGTGTGAGAGAGAGAGAGAGAGAGAGAGAGAGAGAGTGTGTGTGTGT